TATTTGTGACATCAGCTCCTTCCTATTTTCCTCTTGTCTCTCCTCAATTTTTAAAATTCTCTCTATTAATGTCTTGATGTCTGGGTTTGTTGCATGTGACCAGTCCTTCTGGGGGCTCTTCATTGTTTGTGTTATATTTTTTTCCGTTTTTTCCGTGTGTCTGATATCCCAGGGGTCTGTGTGAGACCTATATTCTTCTTTTGATTTTTCTTCATTTGTGCGGTTTTTTCCCTCTCCCAACTTTTTCCTTCCCTCCACGTCACTGTCTTCTTTAATTCTGTTATTCAGGGGTAGAGGGATTGCTTTTACTTCTGTTTGTTCAATCTCCTATTCTTTGAGTATGCCCTCTTACTTTGTTCAATTCTGGAGTTGCACTGTAGGTTGGGGGTGGTCCTTTTTGCAGTTTTGAGATTTATTTAAGGAGGGGAGCTGTGATTTAAAATCTATCTGCATGTCCTGGTATTTGTCGACAGGTGTATGGATAATTTGAAACCCACTTCCCACTGCCTTGGAATCTGTCCCTGCAGTGGGGCTGTAGGTTTACTCCCTGAAATAAAATGTTGTTTGCAGAGGGAAGAGAATGGAGCAGATAGTGGGGGGAAGCAGGGGCTGGAGAGAGAGAGGAGTAAGGGGGGAAACAGATGAGTGTACCAACAAGTGGAGAGAGACCTAAACTGAAACAGATAAAAACAATAGACCATGGCTACAGACTAACCAACTCCCATACAAAAAAAAAATAAAACATACAGTGATGCTAACATACAGGCTAACCAACCACCTTATTGGTGTGCTGTTCCTCTATACAACGATATGGTTTACAGAGAGGAGAAAAAAGAAGAAAAGGAGGAGGAAAAGAAAAAGAAAAAAAAGGAACAAAACAGTAGGAATAGAATTAAGTCATTAAAATAACAGAACCAATCAAGCACACTCTGAGACTTTTCGTTTAAGTCCAATGTCCTTTCAGCTCTGATTTCTGGCTGTCTTTTCAAGTTGGTAAATTAGTTAGCAGTTAGGGTCAGTTGCCCCTGGCCTGCTGTGAAGGACAGTTCAGATCACCCTCAGTTCACCATTCAAATCTGGCCTGTGTCTGTTTTTCAAGCTTGTTTCTCCCTTTTCAGTGTTGTTACCTTGAATCCTCAGCAGGTGGTGCTATCTCAGCTGCTCGTCCCAGAGGGGATGGAGCAGGACAGGAGTCAGGCAGAGGCCTGAGATGGTAGCCTGCCTCAGGGCACACGGTAGGAGACCCACAGCCGGCAGGACGTCACGGTGGCAGCAGAGGTGGCAGGATCCCAGCAGATCTTGCCTGCAGGGATTCAAGGACTGAAGTTGTGGATTACCTCAGGCACGGGTGGCGCAACACGCTATGGCCACCACGGAGGCTGCAGCGACCCGGTGGTTGCTGTGTCTGCAGCTGTAGTGGCTGTCCAGACGGCTGCAATGCCCCAGCGGTGGTGACCGCCCAGCTCCGTGTGAAGAGCAGGCTGTCCACGTTGGGATCCGTAGCACCCAGGGAGAGAACCAGAGACCCTCTGCATTCTCCTTTGCAGAGGGTTTCATAGACCAGGCTGCCCCATCGCCATCTTGCCGGAAGTCCCCCTCTCATATACTTTAAATCATCTCTTGATTACTTGTAATACCTCATACAATGCAAATGCTATGTAAATAGTTGTTATGCTTTGTTGTGTTCCTTTGATTTGTCTTTTTTGTTGTTGTATTGCTGTTCCCCCCGCCGATATTTGTGATCTGAGGTTGGTTGGATCTGTGGTTCCAGAACTTGTAGATAGGGAGAGCCAACTGTACTGATCTGCACTACTAATGTGTAGGGGGTGCCACATTCAAGCCTACCTTCTAACTCTGCATTAGTGTGTTTTGTATTGTTTGTTTTTCCTTACGCGAGAGTGGTCTCCTGTTCTGCCTCCTGCTCCCTGACTGTCTTCAGGATGAGGTTTCTGTGCTTTCCACTCTTCTTTGTTCAATGTTTTATGAAATTCTAGAAGAAATTTCCTTCACCCCAGCACTTATGGAAGGCACGCATGTCAAATGGACAGCAACTCAGCCTCATCACCTGCAGGGATCTGTGGATTACCTGTGACTGTGTTTTCCTGCTGACATGAATTGCCTCATGGCACGGGGTATTCTGAAGTTTCATTACTTGTCAGAGAACCTAGTTAATCAAGTAACTTAATTTGCATGCTTGTAGCGCCTCCTCACCCCAGGTGAGGGATATGAGATGTTCAAGGACGATTAACTGCAGATGCTGAAAGCTGATGTGCAGGGATGCAGAGGCACTGGGATAGTGATTGGTTTCATGGCAACATGCTGATACTGTTTATTTGTTTGGCTTCTCTGCTTGAGGTTTTTGTGTTCATTATATTTCCCGGCTTCAAAAGGGAATGAAAATGTCAGAGTAAAGATGGTGAAATTCAAACAAAACAAAAACAACAAAATCCTACAAAAGTGCCATTAATACATTCTTTAGAACTTTAACACTGACTAATATGAACAAGAATACAGGACAGACGTTTCTCAGAGTTTTAAGCTGATTCATCTAAAATTTCAAATGTTGAACCTCCAGGTTAAAAGGATTAGTTACATGGCAATGCTTAATTTCTCTTTTTCTCTTTTAACAATACAAAATCACAGGGCATTGCAGCAGGAATATTACTTAGAACTGTTAATTAAGTCTCAGCTAGAACCAGACAGACTTTTCATTTGACAAACATTAGATGGGACACATGAACAGACAGTGGAATGAGGCAGGAGGGCGTAGGGTGATAACTAATTTTATTACAACAGACAAGGAAAGACCAAGAAACTGTCACAGATTGGAGGACACTGAGGCGACATGATGACTAAGTATTGGATTCTGGAATAGAAAAAGAGAGTGAGTGAAAAACTGTAGGAATCAAAATAAAGTTTGTGGTCTTGTTAATAATATCATCTCATAACAATTATAATACTATAAGAAAGCAATTGGCAGTAGTGGGAAGCTGTCAGGGAAGGGGGTTTGGGATTAGCATTTGAGGGAAACTGCTAGGGGAAGGAGGGACATACCTCATCAACAAGAGTACCTGCATAATCAACGTTTGTATACCTAACCCTGAATTGTACACCACATCTTTATAGTAACAAAAAAAGAAAGAAAATATTAAGACCAAAAAAAAAAAAAAATCATCCCATAGATCTCTTGAACCTATTTCATCATGGTGACTGTATTTAATAACAACATATCTTATACTTGAAAATTGCTAAAAGAGTAGGTGTTAAGTGCTCTCACCACAAAATATGATAAGTATGTGAGGTAAAGCATGTGTTAAATAGCTTGATTTGGCCATTCCATAATGTATCCTTGTATTAAAATATCACATTGTACACCACAAATATGTACAGTTTTTACTTGTCAATTAAAATGATATTTACAAAGGTTAATGTCTTGCTTTTAATAAAAGCAACATAGATAAACTGGGTAAAGAGTATATAGGAATTCCCTACACCATTGTTGCAACTCTTTTGTAAATCTGAAATTTTTGCAAAATAAAAAGTTAGCAAGGTACTACAGAACAACCAACATCGCAGCCTATTTAAGATTCTGGGCCAAAGAAAAAGACATTGTATATGATATGGTACATTGAGAGGAAAAATCTGAATATTTGAAAAAAACAATTGCAGCAAAAGAGGAAAGCTTAGAAAGAATCTGGTTGTAAAGAACCCATAAGCTTTATATGTTACCAAAGAAGCATCAGCGTGTGCCTGTGGTGCTGTACACAGAGGATCAGTACCTCCCAGCTGATGCTTTCATGAGTCGTGAATATGTGCTCCCATCCCATATCCACTTCCCTCCTAGCTACCTTGTTACCACACCAGGTATCTCTACGTACATGTTCCAGTCATCCATTTACAAAATAGGACGGGATGTCAATAATAGCTGCTAATGAAAGGATATATGTGCAAATAAACAAATTAATTAATAATGAGTAGTATCTAAAATATCAGATTTTGTTAGAATCTCAAGTTAGGAATTGGAACAGTGGGGAAAAGTTATGCCAAAAAAACTAGTTTTGTCATATTAGGGATTATTCATAACACTGTTGTTTTCTAGACACTGATTATTAGCAAAATACAGAATGGTTTTCAAGATTATTGTCAATTTTTCTAATTTCACATAAATTTAAAATAAAATGCAGCATGAAAAATCTAAGTTCAACTGCATAGCTTGTATTTTTGTTAAACGGAAAGAACAAAATATATCAATAATACATCCTCAGTCACCCCTAATTTTTCTATTTTTGACTGACACAGGGCACAACAAATCACAGTAATTTCTGCTCTGCATTTGTTGCCTGGAACGCCTGAGAAACTCCTTATCTGAGACAGCTGAGGCATCACTTGTTCAATGGGGCTTATGCCTCCCTTCATACTGCTCCCTCAGAACACCCTCCTTGCATGGAAGTCACCTTTACTCTTGCCCGGTCACCCACTGCATTTCATATTGTTCTTTGGGATGTCTATCTCTCCTACAGTTTGTAAACACCTGAGTGTAGGGCTATGCTATAACCATCTTTCTTATCCCAATATTCAGTGCTGCAGTGCTTCCTAACATTGGGAGTCCAGAATTGAGGTTTTCCAGCTCTGCCATGGTCTGAATATTTTCCTTTGTGTCCAGCAAAAGGCAAGTCATACATAAGGACCAGTAGAGACACTAGTTCCAGACATTGATATGATCTCATAGTGTTCAATTGTCTGCTTGTTGAATTAGCACTTTCACTTAGTGAGACACCAAATGAACATCAGAGAGTCAGGGGTTATAAGTGAAAAACCAAAGCAATTAAGGTTGGCATTATCTGTTTACACTGAACCTGTATTTTGATTATGTGTGTAATTATGAGAGGTTATGTATTCTAGATTTGAAATCTTCATAAATTTCACTTATGTTCATAGTCTTACTGGCTAATATGGATTTTAAATATACGATCTTTCTTATTTCTATTCCTACAAAAAAGGAGCTGGTGGCTGGACCCCACTTGTGTCAAGTAAATATCAGTGGCTGCAGATTGACTTTGGAGAGAGAATGGAGATAACAGCTGTGGCCACTCAGGGACGGTACGGGAGCTCTGATTGGGTGACCAGCTACCTCCTGATGTTCAGTGATGGTGAGAGGAACTGGAAGCAGTATCACCAAGAAGAAAGCATCTGGGTATGTTCCTTCATTGAAAAACACAGTCTGTCAGTATATGAATTATTGTAGTTACTACTTGCTGCTGCAAACCTATCAGATCAACTTTGGAAACTAAACCTCCTAAATTACTTGAACTTGTTTTCAGATGAATATAAGATACTACTGGCATTTTAAAATACACTACCCATGTATAATTTATGAAATGAGTAATAATGGAACAATTTTATAATGTAGTGAAATACTGAGAACATCTTCCCATAATTTCTTTAAGTTGTGTGAAGTTTAAAGAATATACAAATCATATAAAACCTATTTTTTGTCCAATAACAGTATTTTGCATTACCTAGATCTTATTTAATAAAGTAAATTTATTCTTCTATGTCCTCTGTTCAGGTGAGGTTTTTAAAAGACACTGAACATTGAAAAATGCATGTGTTGGAACATCTCTCTATGGAGGATGTGTTCAGGGGCACAGGCTCTACTCAGCAGGAGCCCTGGCACAGTGGCCCCTCTTAATTCATGACCTGTAGCTCTCTCTGAGATTCTTTGGAGTCATAACTACTTTATTTTGCATCAGTGATATGTTTCTATTTCTGATTACCTACCTGTCCATGCTCCTTTTAGAAAATTAAATTTCGTTTGCTTAACTTTTTGAATATTCACATATATGTAGTTTACTATTGATGTAGTATTTGGTATCTTTAAATCTGAGTTTTCCCTGAAAGAGAGACTCTAAAAGTAGAATTTTGTGAAAGGCTGCACAGCTATGGGCTGTGTGGCCTGAAGATTTTTCAGATGCAGAAATTACTTTTTTTAATTATTAAAAATATAGTTTATGAGATTGTCAGAGACCAAGGGAAGGGAAAAATGGGAAGTAAATGTTTAATAGGTACAGAGTTTTAGTTGGGCAGATGAAAAAGTTCTGGCGATGGGTGGTGGTGATGGTTGCATAGCAAGATGAATGTCTTCATACCACAGAACTGTACACTTAAACATGATTAAAATCATACGTTTTATGATATATATGTTTACTATAATAAAAAGATGTAGAGTTAACTTCCTTTAATTTATGTTGAGGATGTCATGTAACTTTTTCTTTTTCTTTAATTGCAATGGTGAGAGAAAGGGTGCCTACTAAAAAGCCTTTTCTTCTCAGCACCAGTCTATCTCTAAGGCTAAAAGGCAGCAAAATGATAATATTCGTGAATAACTAATTGCCCTCATGTGAATTTCATTAGAACTGTATTACATATTATGAATTAATCAACTGTGGTCTGTTCAGTTTTCTGTCTCTGAAGCTCTTATTAGTTTGTCCATAAATGTTGCTGTAAATTGAATCAAGAACTAGTTTTCTAACACTAGGTACTTTTATCCAGTGTTATAGGAGGGCATTTCCCTGTCAGAGTGCTTTGGGGCTGGCCCCAAACAAGCAAGTGCCAGGTGTGTGATTAGCAATATGTATTAATGTTGAACTAATTCTAGGTAAATCAAGTCCAAACCAGGTTTAGTTAAGAATGAATAGCAGGTAAAGCTTAATAGAGGACCTTTGTCCAAAACTAAATATTGATTTTTGAAATTAGGTAACTAATAGTTAATACATGCTTATTCTTAGTTGTATTAAATCAGGTTCCTATTTTTGACTCCCTTGCCAATAAACGACTGAAAGACTGGAAATTATTGTTTTTCATTTTTGAACCAGTTGGTTGGAGGGAAGTCATATCCAGGCATCACCTCATGCCATTTTATTTAAAAATCAAGCACCCGGGAAGGTATCAAGAAGAGTGGTGTTATTCATTTTGGACCCTGTGTGTGAGGGCAGAGTATGACACCCTCATCCTATGAACTGTTACAGCATACTTAGGTGTCCTGGGCTGCTTCCACACCAGTGATCTCACTAGATAGAGACCCTTCTTTCGCTCCTTGTGTCCCCAGCACTTCAAGGTGTCTGGTGCCAGCCAGAGAGGCGGTACATGTTTCCTGGATGTTAGGTGAGTGAAATCTATCTTCCTGATCCCCAAAGGTGGCCCCTCCTGCTCTGCCCTTCTCTATCGTTTTGTCTCAGCCCATGGTTCTGAAGCTGTGTTGTAGGACTTTGGTGCTATGCTTCTCGCTTGTGTTTTGAGCTCCTTTAGGAAAGACACTCCAGCCCTCTGTCTTCTGCATCTATCACCATGGTCTAAGTGAATCAGTCTCCCCCTTTGGGCCTGGTTCTGACACAATTTACATCTACAGCAGCAAACCTCACTGTTGATAATTGTAAGTAATACACTGACTGTTTCTTTTAAGAAGTAGAGCTGATTTTGGCTGCTCTCCAGCCCCATCACGCAGTGCCAGGTGCCTTTCATAGTCAGCCACATGCCCAACCTGAGGCTCTACCCATTCTTTAGCTGATTGTTTTAGACACGAACCAGTGACATTAACTTGAGTGAATTTAAGATTTAAAAAAAATTCCTTGAAATGGTTACAGTCTATTAGTGAAAGCAGTATGCATTTATTCACTTTACTATGACCGAGCACTTAGTGGTTTCATACAAGACAAAATTATTATGTTATAGTTTCTGTAGGTCCATCACTGGGTCCTCTGCTTAGGTGTTAACAGGGCTACACTTTTTTTTCCTGGAGACTCTGGGGAAGAATTATCTTCCAAGCTGTGTCAGGAGAGCCCTAGACCTTCCC